TTGGTAAGCTGAGGGGGGGTCATGCGATTTTTAAATGGTGCTTCCCAAATCCCACCAGCCCCCCCTCCCTCATAAAAAATGAACGGTCCCTAACAACGGAAGGTCAAGCTCTAACAACGGAAGCTCATAAAGAACTTACAGTTTAGTACTAGTATTTTCTCACAATAGATAAAGCCATTTGTCACCTTTTCGCAATCTTTCCGTAAAGTCGTCGATGTAGAAGTTAATTGCACCAATTCATGCTTTTGATTGAAGTTTGGCATTATGAAGCTTGAAGGAAATCGATAATACCATGACAACGATAACGTGGAGTCAGTAAACGACCACTTTGCAATATCCGGATATCATATAAAAAGCTAAAACTAATATATTGAACATGGTTTATTGCAATAATAATAATATGTGACTTCAGGATGGACACTAACACAATAATCCAACTTTGTAGGTGTTACACTTAAGCCGCCTCGCCCACACTATGCCGGAGAAATTTGGAAACGCAACTTTATTTCTACGGTTAGGCCTAAAGTCTACATTAATGCATCACAAAAACGGAGCTTTTCGAAATCGATGACATCAGGAAAATCATGTGATTTCCCTGGCCAAGGTTTTCTCAAACACAAATCCAAAAATTGTTTCGTTTTCAATTTTTTTTTCCGGGATATTGTGGACGGACGGTTACATTTGATGCGTTTTTAGAGTGAAAACTCTGTTTTCAAATTTCTCCGGCGTAGTGTGAACGGGATCTTAAACGCACCTTCCTTTTTGCTTTAGTGACCTCGACTTGAGCCTTGTGCCAGTCAGTATCTTTAGGTCCTTTGAGCTCCAACACTAGCCGACCCATGTCAACCCTCACCTCTATCGAACCAGCTCCGTTTCCTCGCATATTATACCAAAAGGTCAGACATGTATCACCCTTGAATTTAGTGTAAAGGCCAGCGTTATCATCGAGCATGCCTTTGCTTGCGTCCATGGACATAAAGTAACCTAGATCCAGTGTTAAAAAGAACATAATTTATTATTTTTTTAGGTATTGATGAACTACCGGGATTCTTCAAGAAATCAGAATTATAAACCCTATTCATGGCTGCCAATTAAAAATTCTTTTGTAAGTAGTAAAATTAGCCCAACTAACCTCGTTTTTGAGTTGATAATTCAAACTGAGAATTTTTTCTCTCAAAGGAGGTTAGTTCGGCTAAATTAAAAGAATTTTAAATTGGCTAAATCTATGTATTAAATATGTTTCTTATATAATCTTCATGGAATGCTAGCAGGAATTATTGATTTTTTACGTTCTCTCGACAAATGTCCCTATTAGGTACTAAGTTTAAGGGAAATGAGGTGAAACTGCAAGTCCAGGAAAAGGCCGTGAGCCAGTGAAGGATTTCGCACGAAAAACGTCAGTAATAGGAGATTTTTGGTAGTATATTGTTGTGGATGAAAATAGAAAAACATTTTATGCGTAATTTCTTTCTCTATAGTAAACCGTACTTCGTGTTACCTAGAGTCGACATAGCAAAAACTTGTAACGCGTATATCATTCTCTAAATTAAAAAAAAGCAAAGTCTTCTAGCTACAATTTTTCATTCATGATGTCCGATGCAAAGGCCAGGAAGGACAGGAATTAACCAGAGCAAGAGAAAAAAAACTCCAAAAGCCTTATGTGCTAAGAAACAAAGGGTTGCTAGAACGGAGTTAAAATATGAAGGATCACAAACTTGGAATAAAAGTGTTATTTTTTTCAAGATGCACCTTCTATCCGTTGAAAGGTCATAGATGCGATTCCTGTCAAGGGTTTCTTTGTCCTGCGCCCAGCGACAAACTGAATACATTTCACTTACGTTTAGTTTAAAAAAGTATGTATATTAAAACATCATTGAGAATCCAAAATAAATACACTCAGTGTGTATGCATGTAACTGAAGATGATCGATGATCAATCGAGATATGTTTTGCAGACGGTGGTTGCTTATCAGTTATTGTTTTTCTGCTGAGCTTGAGACTGGCAATAGTAGAATTAGTATTCTCGTTCTTCTCAAGTTTGTGAAGACTGCGGTAAAGATGCCGTTTCTAATCAGAAAAATAATCTAGCAGAAAACGTTTTCTTTTTCATGTGTTTTGAAGTTTTGTATTCGCAGATGAAGGAAGGGAATGTTATTCAGTCTAGACTTTTGACTAACCTTTTCCGGTGTGAGAAAATCCCTGGCGACGATTCCATTTTAAGAAACTATTGCAATCGTTTATCCAGCCACATTTGCCACTCTCAAAATCACAATCTTGACGACAAAGAAAAATGTTAGAAACAAGAATGAAAGAAAAGAGTGAAGTACATCAAAATGACATAAAATAGAATCAATTCTGCCGCTTACCTTTAGCCGCAAGTGAAACTACCAAGGAGGTTAACAGAATGAACACGAGCATTGTGCTGGTTCTTCCCAACAATTGTAACCCTTTACCGGGCAATGAATTATATATAGCGACCTTGTAAACTAAACACAGGCTGAAAACATTCATTATTATTCATGTCAAATATGGATACATTAAAGTTATTTGCCAAAAAGGTCCACAACATTAACCTCTATTGGTTTGCTGTGAGCAGAGTTTAATTTAGTTCAGTTTGTTTTTCCATTCCTTGTTGGCATGTTGACCAATAGCTGTTTTGTACACGACGTTGACGTAGCAGTTAGCTGCAGTTCTTTAAATCATTTTATTATGAAACAATCATTTCAAAACAAACCACCCTAGAAGGGTTCATTTAAACCAAAAAGAGACCTGAAATATAAGTATAATATTAACTGAATATATTACATATTTACTAGGAACTGCATAGTAGAGAGAAAAGAGATTTAAAATTTGTATCTTGCATATAATTTTTGTCTAACGGACAACAAACATCACTAAGCGAAAAGTCCTCTGCGAGAGTATGATATTTGTACCAATACTAATTTTGAAATATCAACCTTGCAACGCTTGCTTCATCTTGTTTACAACAGAAACACTTTTGATGGTTTAAAGGGCCATCTAAAAGATAAAATGTGTTTATCTTACATGTCACGCTCAAATTTATTTTACAGCAGGCTGGCAAAATAAAACTGACTCGTAGCCAGATATAAAAGCAACAAGCCATTTGCCTTAATGCACCATCTTTGCATTGTGTACTTCGAAAAAAGTGTTTTACTTCTTGCCCCTTTGTTTGTCATTACAACCACTTGACAGAAGGGCTATTTCTTGACAGATCTCTTAACTCTTCAAACGAAAGACAATAATGTCACGATTAAAATACATTCAAATCAGAATCAAAATTTCAATGAATAAAATTTTCCTTATTACACTGGAAACCCAACTGCAAAAGAGGGACGTAGCATATTTTGATGTACAGGCTGGAATATGTTCTGAGTTGTAAAATTTTCACTACATTACACATCAAGTGCCCTTCTGGCAAGAGCTATGTAAACACCATAGTGATGTCGCAATTGTTCATTTCGTAAATACACGCCTAAACATCTTTTCAAGGGACAAGGATTTCATTTTGTTATATTTTTGTATAAGTTCCAGATACAGCTGAATAAACTGGCGTCTCTTCGCGGAATTTCAAAACAAAAGGAGGGATGATAGCGAAGTAGCTTTTTAATGATCTGTTTACATTACCTCTGATTACTCTAATATAGTTGTGATAGATTGTTTGGATCAGTTTTTGGAATGGCAATAACACGAGAGCTTTTACTTTTAAAGTGGTGACAAACAAAAAGTTAATCATCACTCAAAATAACTCAAGAGCGCAATTAAAAAAATGTTTGATATTTGTACAAAACGAGTGAATTCACTCAAAGCAAGGAAGTTAAGAAAAAGATGACCCTACTTATAATTACAGATCCAGATTGTTAATTTTTTAAGCTCATCCAAATAACACTTTATTAAGATAAATGCCTGGAAATGGGAGAGAGATGTATATATTTATGATCATTAATCTCTGGTTCAGAGATGCATTCTCATCATAATAATATTGACTCGTTCAGGTTTCCCATCCTCAAATTTCGGGACCTTTCCCTGTATCGTAATATATATCGACAACACATCATTTTATAGCAGACTCTATTAAAGGGACGATTGTTGCAAATGTGTTTGTCCAGAGCATTTGACCTTATTGACCATTTTAAAAACTCTGATATAGCTAAATTAACAGACCTTTTTGATTTCAATTTATGAAAAGCCGGAGAATACACAGTTGTTAAGTGTATTTAAACTGTTAAGTGAAAACACGAAGTATTGGTAACACGTCCTCCCTCAACTGTGTTTAATACACAAACTAAAAAGGCACTGATATTTACTATAACTAATTAAAACCATGGTGAAGAAAAATCTACTTATTAAACTGAACTTAACCATTATAAGAAGAAAATAATAACTTTTTACTTGAAAAGCCATCCGGTTCATCCAATCAGCAATGCGAACCATCAAATTTCAAAATATATGTTTGCTGAGAATGAATAAACATAAATAACGTTCATCAGGGTTCCTGTTGGATTGCACAGATAGCCGTTGTATCGAAATCGCAAGTTATGATCGGCAAGAAGAAATGGTCGAAGCGATCGTGAACACTACCGATGCAATAAAACTCAGTGAAAAAAATAAACTTTTCTGAAAAGTGTACTTTAGGACAAAACTGAAGCGAGGGGAGTTAAAGAAATCGGTGTAGACACAGCTGTTTCGTGCAGAATTTCGACGATACATTTGTGAATTTACAATCTTTACTACCCCATGTATACGCTTAAGTTGCACCTAAAGATTCGGTAATAAATACGAGCTGAGTCAACTGCGGTTCAAAATCTACTTGAACACTTGTTGGCAGGCTTGTATTATTTCGCGAATTTGTCATCTAACGGGGATATTTTATTACATATTTTAATTGGGACGTCTTTCATGAATACAAGGGTAGATAGAGAATGTTTTATTTCTATTCCCTACGCCTTCCTAAGAACGGAAAAAGATGATATGAATTTACAGCAAAACGTGAGCAAACTTCTTTCTTCCCCAAGCCATTTCAAAATCTGCGACCAAACATTTGAACATTTTGAAAAAATCTCTATCCAGGACCATTTTCTACGAGAAGATAACGTGAATTTATTGAGTTGTTTCAAACCGATGGGTGACTGATATTACACAGGCCATTCGAAGATCTGGGACAAACCATTTGAACGTTTTAAAAAAAATCCCTATCCAAGGCCATTTTCTACGAGAAGAAAACGTGAATT